CGTATATATATATATATATATATATATATGGGAGAATATGAGGTTTGTCCACTAGCTGACAACTACAATGTAAGCCCAACGGCCCATATTGAATCTGGACCGATCTGAGGGTCGCGACCTCATTTCATAATATAATTTTAATATATTTTTTTCTACAAATCCAAATCATATGAAGTTGAGGCGTCCATTCTTCTCATCAAGGCGCAACTAATAAAAATATTAAAAAAATAATTAAAAAACTCACCAAAATATCCAAAAAAGTTTCAAGGGTATTTTGGTCAATTTATTTTTTGGGAATTAGTTTTTTGATATTTTTATTAGATTCTCCTGTTTCTAAAGAATAGATGCTCCAAATATCAAGTAATTTGGATTTGTAGAAAAAATCTAAAATTCAAATGCGAAATGCAATTGTGACCAGTAGATCGGCCTAGATTCAATCTGGGCCATTGGGCCTACACTATAGCTGTCAGCTTGTGGGCTAACAAGATCTTTTCCCTATATATGTATCTATATTAACCCATTTCAGCTTCTTATTTGTGAAACCTTGTATGTGTCAGTAACCATGACAAAAATATTTTATGGGATTAAGGAGTTCAATAAACATGGAAGGAGGTTTCTTTGTATGTAATGCTTGCTAAATTTGACACTTCTGACTTTTCCATAGCAGTTTTAAATATTCAACTGTTCAATAAATGTTTTTTTTTGGGCAGGAGCCTGAACCAATAGATTGGGAAAAATATAGGAAAGGGATCGGTTCTCACTTAGTGGACATGTACAAAGAAGCTTATGAAAGTATGCACCCTCCTCTCATTAGTTATTCAGTGTTTCTGAATATATGGAATATTATTTTTTCTCATCATATGGAATATGAGAAGGGCCGAATTATTGCATGCTGCATATTTCTGATGATTGAATCTTTCTTTTAGTTTGCTTTCTGATGTGCTTGTCAAGGTTTAATGCCCCTTTTGTTAGTGAGTTATACCTAAAGCTGAAAAGAACTACATTTGGAATGAATAGTTCATAGTTTCTTAATTGATTTAATGTCCTTGAGGGCCACATCATATGGGCTTATGTATTCTATCTATGTTTTTTGTGCTATACTATTTTGTTAGTAGCAGATGATTGTGAATGTCATTTGTTGTCTCATTGAATGAACACTAAGCATGCGTTCAATTGCTGCCTTATTTTTGAAAATATGGCTTTTGTAAGCGCATGGAGGATCCTTGCAGGGTTCTAGACTGACATGAACAAATACATATTAATGAAATCTTTCTAACACAATTCTTGAAGCATACAAGTTTTGTCTTGTTTGGCTAGTAGTGTTCACAAAAGACTGGGATACTGTATGTAACTTGCTTAAATCAAATAGGCACCCTAAGGTGATGACCTTTTAAATGCAAGAATGATGGTTAGGAGTATTCATTTAAGACCAAATGTTGTAAGAGACAAAGATTGACTCACATTTCTCTTTAGACTTTCGAATGTTGTGGCCTCTACCAAGCCAGGCCAATTTCTCTCATATTCCAGGTTCGTTTTTGGGCACATTTTTTCTTTAGTATTTTCCTTTTAGGCAGGCCTGTAACATGAAAAGTGAGTTTGAGGTCCCGTAGTGTCTAAGTTATGTATCATTGAAGAGTTTGAAAATGAATAAGATTCATAAGAAACTATGCTTTGTGAGAGCATATTATACGTTCGGAAAATATAGGTAATTGTCTTAGTCTTACATAACTTACCTTAAAATAATTCAGCATATATAAGGTATCATGCATACTATAGTTACATGAAATGTATATTGTTTATGTACTTTAATAACAAATGCATTAAATCTCATATCTTTTAGTTTTGGGTGTGGTTTCCATAAGGTTGCAACCTTAAACAATTCATTTAAGGCGCACCTTCAAAGTTTTATCGTAGCATATAATTTTGATGTAAAATATTCTTAAGATTATCTCAAAGTCTATTCTCAAATCAAATATAAAATTTACTCCAAAAATGTTTAAAATCAAGTAGATCTATAAACATATGAAAATCTTGAAAATGAACGGTCTAGATAATGTGTTGTCAGATGCACCATTTCCGGAACTCAAAATCATTTTTTTCTTTCATAGTCATACATCTCGATGTTGAGATGATCAATTAGAGGGTTTTCAACATTCAAACAACCTTTACCAATGGATTTTTTAGGTGCATTAGTAGTTTTACATTTTAAGGTTGCAACCTTATATAAACTTTTCCCTTTAGTTTTTCGTTTTATTTCTTATATATTTTTACTTTTTTAATAAAAGAATTTGAAAATGCTAGGGAGTTGACTCGCTTGAGTCACAATTTGACCCAATATTTGTGCATCCAAGTCACAGCCAAAGTGATGCAGGGAGAATATAAAAGGGGTTGAGATTTCTCTGGGTTTAAAAATAGAAACTTAAACTGTCTCTCCCTTATCTCCGAAAAACAAGTCTAATATATCCTAACGAACCCAACCATACTAATCCCTACCTATATATCTATCTTTTTTTAAAAACACGAAACTTCAAATTCTATCCCTCAAATCTCTACAACTAAAAAAAACAGGAATAGCCTTGAAGAAAACGAAAAATCCAAATAACATATTTTCTCTTTACTAGAAAATATAAAAAAATGCTAACATTCTAAAAAAAGGAAATATAATTTTTTTTTTTTAAAAAAAAAAACATGTGTTTATTTACATCATTCTCCCGGAGTTGGGTCGAGCTTAAATCTTTGAGAGACCTCAAAAGTTGATGATGCTCTTCAATAAACCAAATTGTCAAATGCTTTGTGTGAAACTTGAAGTAGAATACTGGGATCACAAACTTAATCTTAATTTCATTTTCAGACTCACAGGTTTGGGTTTCAAATATTGCATCGCACTTATCTTTTTCTTCATAATTTTTTTTCAAAACTTCTTACATGTTTGGGCTATCGACATCATCTTTTGTATAGAGATCTACCTCTTGATATCCTCTTGTTGCAATATACTAAGTCGATCTTGTAGACATTGTTGTATTGATTTGCGAAGGTCTTCCATATGTCTATCGAATTGTTGATCCAATTTCTTCAATATTTGATCAAATCGATCTAAACGCTCCATATGGTGTATGGATCTTGAATCTCAAGGCTCGGATACCAATTGATGCAAAGAGAAAAATAATAAACATAAAAATAAAATAAAATAAAAGGGTTGAGAGATTATACCTTCTCTCTGGGTCTGCGAGGGAGTCCACCCCAAGGTCTTTTCACAAGATTAAACTCTTTCTTTATTCTCCAATCACTCCCTACAAGGAATGGATCTCTTCCTTTTAAATACAAACTAAACGGAATAATAAATAAAAATAAAAAACTAAACTCTATCTCTCCCTTATCTCTTAAAAACAAATCTAACATATCCTAACCAACTCAACCATGTTAATCCCTATCTCTATCCATCTTTTTTAAAAAAATTAAACTTTTAATTCTACCCCTTAGTTCTCTACAACTAAAAAGGACAAGAATAACCTTAAAGAAAATAAAAATTGAGCGATTATTATGCAATTTTCTAGAGTTTTTAGTTGGCAACAATGAAAACCATGGCTTTTGAGTAGTGGAGAAGCCATTTCCCAACTTGAGACGTGTGTTGCAAGTAAACAAGTCATTTCGGAGTTGAAGTTGAAGATCCATTTGAGACAATGGCGAGATTGGGTTGATGTCTCTTTTAATTCCGCCATTTTTGAGAGCTTCAAAGAGATTGTTAAAGCTTTCGAATTTCAAGCTGTAGACTGTATCGTTTTCACTTCATTGAGAACCCTGAAGTAAAATGGAGAGAAACCCTTCCTCACTGCTTCCTACCTCTGAACCTATCAAACCTCGAACTGCAAAGGAGGCACATGCTCATTCTCTACCTTTGTATAACCACTGCCGTGAGTTCATAGATCCATCCTTCAACCAACCCCCTGGACACCCCTTTGCTATACCCTCTTCTTGCAAGACTGCCATAGGCAAATCTTACGTACAGGTCGTTGAGAGTAAAAATCCCATTATTTCATCTTCATTATCTCACTCTGCATTTCAGAAAGTGCACACTTCCACCCTATCTGCCCTCAGAATTCCAATCTTAATGTAGTACCCTGTATCTCCTTTCCAAGGTCTGGCGAGATTCAAGAGCGGTTGTCTTCCCTTCGCAACTCCCTTGTGGCAACCGTCTCCCCACAGAAGAACGAACTTAGATGTATTCTCAGGTGGTTCCAGACCATTTTCAAGATCAAATAAATTTCCTGCTGGTTCCTCCATAATGGCAGATACCTCTTTTCGATGCCGAATGACTTTTTCGCTCCAATTTCAGCTAATAACCTATATGCTTCAGAGGAGGTCGGCTTTCCCTCAAGAAATGTGAGGAATCCCTGTTGCACCAAGTTCTGGATTTGGGTAGAAGGTCTCCCGAAGCATCTTTGGTCACAGTCGGTCTTCAAAGCAATAGGTAATTCCTGTGGGGTCTTTATCTCTGTTCACTGGAAGTCGTTTGGTAAGTACCCTTTAGGCTCTGTAATTTTCCTGGTAGAATCCCCGAATGAGAATTCTATCTCCTCTACCCTATTTTATAGTATGATGGTTTCTCCTTTTTGATTAAAATTTCCTTTCAAAGCTCTACAACTACCTCCCGGAATGAAAGACAACCTCCAGAACTTGAAGGCTGGACAACGGTATCGAACCTCGGTACTCCACACCCTTGTACTCCATTATCGAACCTCGTAATTCAGTCCACCCTACACCTATCCCCAGCGCCGATATCCCTCGTACTGACCCCATCCATCGGGAGCCACCTCAGCAACATCGAAATAAACAACCCATCATTCCCTCCCTTCCTTCTCTTTCCAATGTCTCTCTCCCACCGCCTCAGCCACCTCGATCTAACCAACCCTACTCCCTTTCCCCTTATCCCCCACCCATAGACACCATCAGCTGCCTCTTTCTCCAATTCACCCTTCCCCCATTAATGACGCATTTAATGTGTCTGCTGTGGTGCCGTCTTCCCTCCTTATGTTCTTTGCCACGTCTCTTTCACATACCATGTTAACCGCCTTTCCACCTTCGATAGGTCCCGTTGTCTCCCTACATGCGTCACCTTTCACTCCCTCAATTAATGAGGAGCAGGTCGGTCCTGCTGAACTCCTTGCCACACGCCTTTCTAGTGCCCCTCTCTTAGCTAACACTTCATCTCAAGTGACTGAGCCACACATGCCTCATGCCTTAAATACTCGTCGAACCTCCCCCTCCGTCCCTTCAGCTTTCCTCAACCTTCCCCTTCCCCTTTCCCTTTCCTTCCCCATGATCACCTTTTTGCATCCCCGCCTCATCTTTTCCGTCAATCTTCCTTGGGAAAGGAAGTCCACTTCTCGAAAAATTTCAACCATCATTCCTCCTCTATTGGGGATTCCGAACGCCTCCTTGACCTCCTCCCCCATCACCTTTAATGGCCCTGCCCATCGCTCCCCTCATCTTTCGCCCCATTCTTCTCCCTCCCTTCACCTCACAAAGAATGTCCCGACTCCCCCTCTCTTCTCCGGACCATCCCCTTATTCGCCCTCTCTCACTCTCAACTTGTGAGTGCTCCAGCCATCCCTTTCTCCTCCAAGCTTCCCATCCCTCACACCCTCTTCCTTCTATCCCTCCCTTCTCACCCTGTTCACCACCCATTCATCCCCTTCCTGATCCCAGCCTCCACAACCCTTCCCCCTCAATCACCCCCACCATGCTCAAAGACAGAAGCATAAGCCCGTGTTCCCTAGCGGTCGGTGAGACCC